TGTGTGTGTGTGTGTGTGTGTGTGTGTGTATACAGTGACTGGCAGAAAGCCATAGTGGTTCCACTATGGAAACAGAAAGGCAACATACAGGACTGCACAAGGTACAGAGGCAGCTCTTTATTAAGTCACGCAAGAGAAATATACGCAAAGATACTAGAACAGCGGATAAGAGAGCAAAGCTCAGTTTGGATTCCGAAAGAGAAGAAGATGCAGAGAAGCTATATTCGCATTAAGACAGATAGATAAGCGAGAAGACAATCGAACAAAAGAAAGAATCCAAAATCATCTTTATAGACCAGGAGAATGATTTTGACAGAGTAAACCATGAAAAACTGGAAAAAAAACTCGAAAAGTATTGAGTCAGAGGACACATGTTAGATAATATCAGAGCTCTATACACCAACAGCAAAACCTCAATAAGAACGAAGGAAGGCAATACAGAATGGTTCAAAGCAAGATCTGGAGTATGACAGGGATGCGTTCTATCTCCCCTCCTGTTTATAATATTTATGGACACAATAATGCAAGGCCCAAACCAAAGCCCAGAAAGCCTAAATGAACTTCTATTCGCAGACGACCAATGTCTTATTCACTGAAACCAACAAAGCGTCCAAAATCACACTACCGAACTGAACAACACCTGCGAAAAATTGAACATGAAAATAAGCCCATCAAAAACAGAAGTTATGAAAGTGAGCCGAAATCGTAGTCCCCTGAACATCCATGCTAATAGTGAACAACTGAAACAGGTGAAAGAGTTTAAATATCTGGGCAGTACTTTTTCTGAAAACGGGTCCATAGACAGAGAAATAGAATTGCGTACCCAAAAAGCCAAGGCTGTCACCTACCAGCTCGTATCCCTCCTATCTGACCCAAACATCTCCATAGACACAAAGAGACAGCTTATCACCTCAATATTCATACCAACATGCTACCAGTAACAGACCTGGACATTAAGTAAAACCCATGAAAGCAAAATCACCGCATGTGAAATTAAAGGTCTCCGCAAAACCCTTAACATCACAAGACGAGACAGGAAGAGTAATGAAGAAGTAAGAGCAGCTATCGACATCGAGTCCTGATAAAATGGGTTTGGCCACCTGTCACCTATGTCACCTGGCCAACCAGCCCCGAGAGCCTACTCATGCAGCATAACAGTTTAAAGCGTAATAAATTCTGCATTATCGGACACATTAATACTTCATCTGTAATAAGAGACGCCCCAGATAGGGTCACTCAAAATTGACCTTTAAAAATCAGGCTTGGCAAAATTGTGGGATTTATATATTGCAGCTGCGAGGAAAAAAACTGTCTCATTCTTTTAACAATTGTACATACTTTATGCAGGTTGTTTTTGTTTTGCTTTTTTTTTTCAACACTTAGATTTTGAATTCTTACAGAATATTTCTCGAGCACATGCAACCAGTACAACCAGACAAAGAAACTTCAATTTGAAAAAGAAAATAAATATAATTTGTGGCTTGGTACATCTGCACGGCTGGCCGACTATAATATTATAGACCTGGGTGTCTGTGAGACTTTGTTTAACTTTGGGTGTCACTTACCTGGAAGAGCCTCGTTCCCATTTCGTTCCTCATTCTGTTCTGTAGCTGAGAAGATAACATCATCATCATCATCATCATCATCATCATCATCATCATCATCATCATCATCA